CCTCAGTTGTAGCGTGGCCGAGCCCTGCAGCATGACGGTCCGAAGGGTACAGGGAGCATCTGTCTCCTGTACCCGGACGGACTAACAGGAAGTGCACACTCTACAGAGTGTGCACTTCCTGTTAGTCCGGCTGGGTACAGGAAACAAAAGCTACCTGTACCCGCGGACCGTCATGCTGCAGGGCTCGGCCACGCTACAACAAAGGTGGGGGGGGGTTGGAGAAAGAAATTGGGAGGGAATGGGGGAGAAATGGGGAGGGGGAGAAGAAATTGAGGAGGGAGGGAGAAGAAATATTGAGGGAGGGGTAGAAAATTGTGAGGGAGGGAGGGAGAAAGAAAGAAATTGGTAGGAGAGGGAGAAGAAATGAGGGAGGGTGGAGAGAAGAGAAAAGTGGGAGGGAGAAGAAGAAATGTAGTGGGGAGGGGAGGGAGAAAGAAATTGGCAGGGAGAAGAAGAAATTGGCAGGGGAGAGGGAGAAGAAATTGGTAGGGGAGGGGTAGAAAGAAATTGGTAGGGAGGGGGGAGAAGAAATGGGGAGGGTGGGATAAAAAGAAATTGGTAGGGAGGGGGAGAAGAAATGGGAGGTGGGAGAAGAAGAAATTGTCAAGGAGGGGGAGAAGAAAAGAAATTGGTAGGGGAGAGGAGAAAGAAATGGGAGGGGAGAAGAAGAAATGGGAGGGGAGAAGAAGAAATTGGTAGGGGAGGGAAGAAGAAATTGGAAGGGAGGGAGAGAAGAAGAAATTGAGTAAGGGAGGGAGAAAAGAAGAAATTGACAGGGGGAAGAAGAAGTGGTGGGGGGAGAAGAAATTGACCTCACATTAAAGAAACACTATAGTCCCCAGAACCACTGCAGCTAATGTAGTTGTTCTGGTGTCTATAGCCTGTCCCTGCATGCCTTATAATGTAAACACGGCGGCACTGCAGCACTGGCGTTAGTTAACATGGCAGATCATATGGGTGGAGCATTGTGATGTCACATGGGGGGGGGGGGGCGGCAAACTTTACTTTTGCCTAGGGCGGCAAAAATCCTTGCACCGGCCCTGGCTACAGGGACAATAAAGAGTCTATTAGTAACCTGCTGCTCTTAACAGTGTTAACACTGTGCACTGTGAGGTTGCTTTGCAGTGCACAGCTTCACAAGTTTTTAACTAGTGACACCATCAGTGTCTCAGGTGTCAGCTACAGAGTGACTGAACACTTTAAAAAAAGATGGTGGGCACTGGGCTGCTTAGCCTACACTATACAATGCATAATAGGTCATATAGCTAACTTAACTACTCTAAGCATTCTAGTCTACGATACTTAAATACTATAGAGACTATTCTAAAGTTAGATATACACTATGCTTTCTAAAGTTAAACAAATCATTATGAAGGTTAGATATCCACTATGCATTCTGATGTTAGATAGGGTTAGTTAAACTTAAGCATTCTAAAGTTAGACATACACTATGCATTGTGAGGTTAGATAAACTAAGCATTCTAAAGTTAGATATACACTATGCATTGTGAGATTAGATAAACAAAGCATTCTAAAGTTAGACATACACTATGCATTGTGAGGTTAGTTAAACTAAGCATTCTAAAGTTAGACATACACTATGCATTGTGAGGTTAGATAAACTAAGCATTCTAAAGTTAGATATACACTATGCATTGTGAGATTAGATAAACAAAGCATTCTAAAGTTAGACATACACTATGCATTGTGAGGTTAGTTAAACTAAGCATTCTAAAGTTAGACATACACTATGCATTGTGAGGTTAGATAAACTAAGCATTCTAAAGTTAGATATACACTATGCATTGTGAGATTAGATAAACTAAGCATTCTAAAGTTAGACATACACTATGCATTGGGAGGTTAGTTAAACTAAGCATTCTAAAGTTAGATATACACTACGCATTGTGAGGCTAGATATCCGAAGCATTCTAAAGTTATATATACAATATGAATTCTGAGGGTAGATAAATGAAGCATTCTAAAGTTAGACATACACTATGCATTTTTAGGCTTGACAGACTTTAGGCATTCTAAGGACAGATAGATTAATCATTCTAAAGTTAGGTATACTCAGCATTATGATGTTAGATAGACTATATTCATTCTGAGGTTAGCTATATTTACCATTCTGAGATTAGACTATTCATTCTGAGGTTAGTTAGAGTCATAATTCTGAGATTAGACAGACTTTGTTTATTCTGAGGTTAACTGGATTTATAATTGTGAAGTTAGCTATACTAAATGCATTGTAAAGTTAGACAGACTATGCATTCTGAATCAAAAAAATAGTAGCAAGGCAGACTGTATTCTCAGGGACAATGCAAAACCCAACAGGAATCATTACTGCAGGAAACATTACTAATACATGCACCTTACTGTATCAATTAGTCAGTGAAATAAGATTCAGTACCGAAAAAACCATATTAGAAAAATTGCCATTTAACATAAAGTATATGAAGTTGTTACCTCAGGCAATGGAAGGAATGCTAATAGATCAGCCACTCGCTCTCAGTCAATGACACCAAAGCTTGTCTCCAAATAGTTTTAAAAACTGTTGACCACTCCCTCCATTATTTTGCAACATAGTCAATTGTCTGTCCAAATCTAAAGAAGTGAAAGTAAATAGCTTCCAAGTGCCAAAACAAATAGAAAAGTGTTCCCTAGGTCACAAAACACACTAGTTTTAAAAAATAAGTTGCATAATATTAAGGTTTGTACAGAGGTGCAATTACATGTGAGACTGTATTAACAGTGGGTCCAACAGTTCGCTGTCTTTCATTATGCACATATTTCTAAGTTCTGCTGCAATAATAATATTGAAACCACTATGAACTAAACTCTTAGGGATACAGGAGAACTAGTTTGGGAACCACTGTACTAGATCACTGGACATTGCAGTATTGCATGGATGTGCGCAAGAGGTGTGCTCAGCCACACTCTAACGTAGGGCAAAATTGTCCTCCCTGTTTCCTGTGTAAGTCTGATTGGGCTAGCTTGTTATATTCCCAAGTGTCCCTATTTTGAAGGGACAGCCCATATTTCAAGCCCAAATTCTTCTGTCCCTTTTTTATCTTGATGTCCCTCTTTTCTATCCTGTCTATATTGTTGGTGTGTTCGAGTGTATAGCAGAGTTCCACAGCAATAATACTCTCAGTAATATATATTTAAACCGCAATATATATGTTTAGAAATCAGTCTGTTCATATACGACATACATTGTTCTTGTTGTAAATTACATTTTGTACATGTTGTAAATTCCTATTAGTAAGGCACCTTAGCTTTCTCATAACATCCCCCATCTTATTGGAATTGGCCCCTTTAAAATTATATGTTTTGGTATACCCCATGTGGTTTTGCGTTTGTGATCACTATGTCCCAAGTGCTTTGAATGTTGGTCAAAAGATCAACATTGCTTGTTATAACCAGATTCAGACAATAGACGTGCAATTCGTTTTGTTACGAATGTACATTTTGGCGAATTTCGGACTGCCACCACAACCACTTACACATCAGTAGGGCACCGAGTGTCAGGATTGCCACCACAACTACTTACACATCTCTAGGACTCCCAGTGTCCGGACTGCCACCACCACCACTCTAGACATGTGCAATTTGTTTCATGCAATTCGAACATTCGGATGCTAACGAAGTTCCGAAGTGTCAAAGTCACAAATCGCCAAAGTCCCGAATTGCCAAAGTCCCAAATTGCCGAAGTACGGTACTTTGGAAGTGCCGAACCAATGCCATTGGTCCAAATTGCCAAAGCAGAGACATTTTTTTACTTACCCAAATTTCCAAACCGAACAACATATTTTGCCCATGCACATCCCTACCAGACAAGTATCCTTTCTAGTTGGTGCTTGTACCACTTGTGACACAAAGATGTCATTTAACAGATTCAAATACCTGATTCTCCTTGCTGACCTACTAGTCTCTCTATCCCAGTTTATGTTTGTATATAACATATATAATATATTTTGCTGTACACATCTATGCAGCCTTCAAATAAAAGAGTTGGGCACGGGCTTTTTGTGATCATTTGCACAAAGACTCTGCTAAAGTAATATATTCCATTCTGAGTGTGCATCTTAAATCTGGAATACATTCAGAGATTGCTCATTCATAATTGCTCATGCAAAAAATAAATAATAGAAAGTTAATGGTGGCATTTGTTAAAATGTACACAACACAGAACATTTTCAGCCCGATTTAGAACATGTGCTTCATCACTGCCAGAGTTATCTAAAAACTGTTTGAAAATCAAAGTGAATTTTAAATTTAAGGGCACAATAGCTGATCTGGAAAAGTTCTCCAAGTCAGCTATGTTCCTAGCACAGCTACATTGGCCTTAAACTTGAAATTCACTTTGAATTAATTTTGAATTCTAAACAATTCTCACATTAATTAATAACCCTGCGAGTATTTGGAAATCTGCCTAGATTAACACAGACCTTACATTCCTTTTGAAGTTGTTTGTAAAGTCCACATGGACTTTACATGGGATTTACGGTTTATGTTTTCAAGCCATGTATTTCTGGAACAAAGTCTGCAACATTTCTATTGAAAATCTGTGTGGGTGCTTGTTTGTGACATCTAGGACACAACGTCTGTCAGATGTGCTCACCACGAGAATGTAGCAGAGATACACTGGTTTCTCCGACACACTAAGCCAGGGGTAGGCAACCTACGGCACTAGTGCCATGCACGGCACTCAAGGTGTCTTTGCACGGCACTCAAGGCTGCTAGAGCCAAACAGGCTCTGGCCTATCAGGAGTCCCAGTAAAACTTCAGATATCTGCTAATACGAAAAGGTGGTGAAGGACAATCCTCAATTTAAGCATTGCAGCACGTAGAGGAAGTGATCTCGGATCTGTAGTAGAGCAGCCCGCAGCTGCTGTTGCAGCTCCTATCCTTGACCTGTACCAGGCCAGTCTGGTCCCGACTGGAACCCAGGGAAGCCACCCACACTGCTAGATATACACTGAAATGTAGAATAACCCTCCCCTCATACAAATAATACAAACAGCCCACTAACAAACATACACACAATCCGCACAAACGTAACCCGCTAACAATCCACATACATGCACACAACCCCACATGCAATACACCAAACAGCCCCCCCCACACTACCAAACACATAATGTGACTTATCCATCCACACACAATTCCACAAGCAACCCCCATACACAGCCCACATTCATACGTATCATACACGATATCATAAACTACTAATGAACATATAGAATATAATCGCTCCTATACACACAAATACAATTATACAAAGCAATCACAGTAAAAATAACACAAGCAGAATACGGCAGCATACACACCTCAATTTAAAAAAAATAGGACCGGCACGCTACGGGACATCACAATCCTATATCGGCACAGTGCTGCTAAAAGGTTGCCTACCCCTGCACTAAGCTGTGAAAAAGGGCTGTATAGTGTAGAGCAGTGATTGGGTGGTTAACATGTTGCCACGCTGGTTGGGCACAGTGGTTCTCAAGCTAACAAAGCACTTTAAAGCAGAGCTGCATTCTCTATACCTCCCAAGTGTCCCTGTTTAGGTGGTGGGGGGGAGAGGAGTTCCTATTTTGGACCCAAAACCCTCTGTTCCTCTTTTCCGTCCCAATGTAACTCTTTCCTAAAAGCTCCACACTTGGAGTGTCTGAGTTAATAAAGCGCCACAGCCATAATAGTTATAACAATGTGTCTTTAACCCCTTCCCGACTTCAGGTACTGCCGACAAAAAACGGTCCTTAAAGACCGTGGGCGTACCTGATACGTCCGCAGCTAATTAGAGTGCTGGAAGCGATCATGATCGCTTCCAGACGCTCTAACGATGCAATCGTGCAATACCCCCTCTCACTGCCAGGCCACCGGGTGATCGCTCCCCTGGAGCGATCACTTCTGGGTTGCCCCACATAGCGCCCGGCAGTGAGGCAGAGCATTGGAAGCCAGCAGGCAGGCTTCCGATGCTTTGCCTGTGCTGAGTGCCTCGAGGGGTTGAGGCACTAAGTAAAATAAATAAAATTAAATTAAAAATAATAATAAAAATTTTAAAAAATTAACCCCTTCCCTCCCTCCCTCTCCCATGTACTTACCGATCGCCGCCATTCCCCTGATACTATGCAGTAGGAGAATTACAGTTGGTGCAGTCAGTGTGGCTACACCGGGGCCCACCTGCTCAGAGGGTCCTTCGCGTGGCCCTTTAACAGCACGACTGGGTCCCTTTCACATCGGTGATGTGCGGAGGAAGAGAGCCTGTCACTTTCTATTAGCTATGGGGAGAGTGCTACATAGGAGGTAGATGAGGAGGAGACAGCACAGGCAGCAGTTGAGAGAGGAGCAATAAGAAAGCTGCTTCAGTCCCACACTCCATTCAGCTTTAGCCAAGCCAACAGAAGGACCCCAAGCAAGCCATCCTCCTGCACAAAATATAAAACTTTATGACATGTATGTGTGTCAGTTGGTCTGTATTTATGTGTTAGTTTGTATATGTCTGTGTATCAGTCTGTGTGCCAGTGTTTATGTGTATGTCAGTCTGTGTATCTGTGTGTCACTGTGTATAAGCCAGTCTATGTATCAGTGTGAATAGGTTGGCCGTGTATTTGTGTCAGTATATATGTGTGTCTGTGTGTTAAGGTGTGTGTATGTGTCACTGTGTCTATCTGTGTGATTGTATGTATCAGTGTGTGTATCTGTGTGTCAAAGAGTGCCAATGTATCAGTGTGTGCATCTGTGAGATAGGGTGTGTGTATTTATCAGTGAGTGTGTGTGTGTGCGCATGTTTCAGTGTGAGTATGTAAGAGTATGTGTCACTGTGTATCTGAATGTGTGTGTGTGTGTATGTGTGTCAGTGTTTTTATATGTATGTTAATGTTTATGTATCTGTGTAAGTATGTATGTATGTGGCAGTGTGTGTGCAAACATCCCAGCAATCAAACACAAAGACAATATGCAATCAAACACAAACATTACATGCAAACACAACCCTGTCTTCAAACTCCAGAAAAACTCAAATTACAGACTCAAATTACTGTTTAAATATATTGATGAGTTTTATGATCATGCAGATGAATTGGTCACATCCAGCAATATGGCTTTCAAGTGACTGAATTTTTTTTGGTTAAATGTGTTAACATGTTCAGATAAATAATCAGAGACATTGTTTTAGTTGAATGATCTGTCATTTGCATTGTCTATGTGAGTTTAATAAAGGGATACTACAGGTATCAAAACAATAGATTAATAAAGCAGTTTTAATGTATATATCATGCCACTGCTTAAATCTTTGCCATTTATAAGCTAAAATGAATGTTGTTTCCATTTGTGCAGTTCTATCCACACCTCACCTGTCTGGGACTCGGGCATCTTGCATAAAAAAATTTGTTTCCTTTTCAATCTGACGTTAACTCACTTTAGAAGTTTTTATATCCTGCTCTCTAAATTGAACTTTAATCACACACAGGATGTTCCAACTGGGTCTATGAGGCTACTTACAGAGCAAGACATAAGAAATGATAGATTAACCAGACTGTGCAATACACAAACCTAAAATATATATGTAGGTTCTTTTTCAGTAAGTGTTTAGGAAGGCTTTGCAAGTCAAGTACAAAGAGGTGTGACTAGGACTGTAAAAGCAAAGTGATTTAACTCCTAAATGTTAGAGGGTTCTACAGTGAGACGGCAGGGGCATGCTCTATAGACCAATACTGCTTCAGTAAGCTAAAGCTGATTTGGTGCCTATAATGTCCCTCTATACTGCCACCCCTCCCTGAAATAGGAGGGGTTTCAGAAAGATATTATACTCGTATTGGAATTTCACGGAAATTCCAATCCAGTCATAAGATATACTGAGACAAAGAAGGGACTACTTTGATTTCCCATGCCTGACAGTACCTACAAACCACACAAGGGTGCAAGGTATCTGGTTCCACCCAAACCAGTGTAATTTTAGGAAAGTATAAGAATAAATTCCAGCACCTCCATTTGAAAATATTGAAAGTAGTGTCCCTTTATTCAGGTGCCTAAAGTGTAAAACAGCACTGTTTCCACATTTACAACGGTCTTTACCAAGGACTTTATGGGAGAAGCTACCACTGTCTAAAAGTGTAAACACTCTCCCCCCGCCATCACCAGTGACGACTGCAGGAAATTGACTTTAACTTTGGAGAGACTCGCGGGATCTTGCATAGAACTGAATGCTGTACTCTCGCACATGTGCAAGAGTACAGCAGTGACCTCTACTCCTGACGCTGAAGTGCCAGGATGTGGTAAGGATCACCTGGAACAAGATAGCAGTGTCCGTAAGGGACATGTTCAGGCAAGTAGAACTCATCTTTTCATGTCTCTCTGGCCACTGGACCCCCAGCGGTAATTGTCACAGTTGAGGGTGTTTGCAAATTTTGCAAAGTCCCCAGATGGTGACAGTGCTGCTTGAAGTACAGTAATAATTATTAAAATATTATCTGGAAAGGTATACATGCAATATAAAAGTCATAAGTAGTTTTTGAAACGGAAGCTTGGGATTGGTTTTTATTTTCAATTCGAGGGTTGTCAACATAAATCACCTTCCTTTAACCCCTTAAGGACACATGACATGTGTGACATGTCTTGATTCCCTTTTATTCCAGACGTTTGGTCCTCAAGGGGTTAAGAAGAAGAAAAAAGTCACATAGAGAGGTTTGGCACACATTTAAGGATACACATTTAAGGATCATACTTGAAAAAAAAATAATTATGTGGCTGTTGGGGAAAGTATTATGTATATATCTGTTTAATATGTGCTTGATTAAGTCTGTGTGTATGGGAGGTCAGGAATTATCTTCAAAGGGAGTTTCTGTTTAGATAGCTGGAAAGATACAGCACCTGAAAGGCACCAATCACATTTACATATCAACTGGTCTTCAAAGGAGTCCCTATCTAGGAAAAGACACCTTAGGTTAGAGGCAAAGGGATGGCTGGGAGAGTTAACACTTAAATAAAATAACAGGATAGACAACACTTTGGGCCTTGGGAAAGTAAATCACATTTTCATATCAATTGAGCTGAGGAATTTGCTGTTTACAACATGGGAACCAATTCCTTTAAAAATAGATACTGACATCACATTAGATTAGGTTTGGTAAGACACACAAGCTGCACTTAACATCGCACAGCACATACACAATATAGCCAATATTATTATACATAATGTAGCAGATAGTATTAGATAGATGGAATGTATGAGTGTCATGAATGTATTGTAACTCTGTAATACTATAACTCTAACATTCTTCTTCTGTAATATTTAACTGGGCAGATTCTAAGTAAACATTTCTCTCTGGTAAGAACTATGGTGTTGGCTGTTTATTTGTAATATCGGGTAGAATACCTTATTAGTGCTAGTCATATATTTATCTGGACAAGGGGATAAAGATATATGTTAGTTCTTGGAAGAGGTGACACAGGGATATTACATTCACTATTAAAACACAACGCAGAGTGGATTTCTCTCAAAAGGATACCAATTGGAGGTATTGGTGGTGAGAGAAGGATTATACAACAGTGGCCATATAGAAATTTCTACTGTTCATGCTTAATTTTGGTACAATAACAATTTACAGAGTGTAAGCATAAATCCCAGACAGTCAGAGAAAGATTACAGTCAATATAATCTGGAAAATACTGCACTCATTTACACACAGAGAATTATAGGGCATTTGATATTTGTATTGAATGGTAGGTTGTGCCATACTAGGCTTACATTTGATGCAAATCAGTAAATAAACTGCTTGTTTTTTCAAACAATGGGTAGATAAGATTAAGATAATACTTAGAGATTGTAGCTTTATAGAAGTGGGTGACTAAATACACAGATCCATATCTACTTGCTTCAACTATAAGGTTGAAACAGACGGGGAGATGGGGGAAATAACAATGAGGCATGTTAAAATCTTTTCACCAATCCTCTCCATCACCAGTGGCGAATACATGGGGGCGAGCACCATGGAAAATTCTCACTAAGAAGTTAGGGTCATTTATGTCTGGCAGGCAGTAAGGGTAATTTTACCAAATGTCTGTAGTGAAATTGCATGTATGAATCTGTGTATCTATCTTTGCATGACTGTTGACGTCTGCCTGTATGTAGGAAGAGGTATCTGCGTTTGGAACTTTGTGTGAATGTAGATGTAAGTATTTGTCACTGTATCTATTTTTCTAAGTGTCTGTGCAAATGTACAGGTATGTGTCAATTTTATAAAGACAAAATATGCAGGCTCTGAATCCGCACTTTCCACCACCAACCCAATCTCTCTCTATAACACAGTTTCCCCTCACAATTCTTCCAGTAATATTTGTAGTTACTCTTCATAGGAGACATTGGCATTTACAGTGTCTCAAGAAGTTTCCTGTTATAGGACAGTATATGCCA